ATGATTTTAAATCCCTCAAGCTGGTAACGTTCATCATAGTGCATATTGATGAAGATATATATATATAGTACTTTAATCAACGCACTACCTTAATCTATAATAGATTTGGATGGCATTAAAATTACCAAAAGTATTGATCTCATGATATTGGTCAATATCATATCTAAGATGATACGTATTCATGTAGTGGAAAATATAATTAGAAAACTCTGAGTTGGAATGAAAAAACTTAAAAGAAACTCTGCTAACCGCAGAGCAGGAGGGTGATTAGACCAACTTTGTTACCAGCCATGTTGAGGTGATTATGCAGCAAAGCCCGATGGGTTCAGCAGTGTGATTTATAGCACAAAGGATCATCACCAAAAAAAAAATGAAAAATTTTATGAACACATAAAAAAAAAAAAATTTCCCCAGAGACGTACACGGAACGAAACCACACTCTCAGTCATAGCTGGAATGTGAGATATAGCTGGAAATGGGATTTCATGCTAACTGAAACGTTTTCTTATCTAGTGGGACTATTATTGGCTCGTTTGATAAGTAAGTTTTTTGGGTGTTTGTATAAAACATTGTTGTAACTTATTGTAGAAATTATAGAAAAAAATTTTGAAATGTATAAATTTTTGAATATTTTGAAGTGTATAATTTAAAAATTTTGAGAAGTTTTTTGAAATTACTGTAGATAAAGTTATTAAAAAACTTGTAACAGACAAACTTAACCAAAAACTTGCTTGCCAAACAAGGCCATTGTTTGTCAAAAGTCAGCAGCTGCAGGGAATTCAATTTTCACATGTAATAACACAAAGGTTATTATGAGGGTTGGGCAGTACAGTTGAAATTGGGCACTGCAATTGAGTGCTGTTGTTGAATTTCTTTCAAGATTTGATGTACATTTCTGTATCATCCGGAAATCTGTATTTGAATTCGTCCACCTAGCTGCCCTGAGTTGTAAATTATGTCTTCAAATGTGGACACAACATTCAAAAGTCCACCACAAGGCTAACTGCAATAAGATGCTAATCTGTTAGATTATCCTTGCATAAGTATTTGACTTAATTGCATCTTGCTAGCATCGAAATGAATATTAGTTAAACCAATGGACTAACATCAGCACGTGACTGCCAGGGGAGGGGCCGATGGGATTAGGGTCTAGTACGGTTTGGTCTGACTACATTATTTGATGTATAATTATATTATATTATTATAATTCGAGATAAAAGCGACATATATGAATAAAATATTTGACATATATCCAGTATAACATGATAATATATTTGTATAACAAAAATTTAAACATGTAAAACGACTGAACAAAACCGTACAAAGTACAGTTGTACTGAGCCCTCACGGTTGCATTGAGTCCTTGTCCCGACTGATGTAAGAATTTTGAAGACACAATAGCAATGTATTCTTTCGGACCATGTAGTAGCTCTGTATAGCTCTTGAAAATTCGCCCTCAAGAACGACCAAGTTTATGAGGTTACTTCATGTAGTAAGTAGGGTTTATCTTCCAAGCGCTAGCTATACCAATTAAGCACTTGGTTTAAGTCCATAAGGTCTTGAAGTTAGATGTATACTTTCGAAATTCTAAGGGCCAAGATTAAGTTTGAGTAGTAACTTTTGTCAAAGTCCTAATTTCTAATAATGAGCTTCAGATAACTCATGAATTTCTTGATACAGTAGATTTTTAAGAATAATCAACTTTAGTTATTAACCATTTCAGATCTTATAGATTTGAGTTCATTGTTTCGAGTCGTTAACTATTCTTTTCTCAAAAGTCATATTGGGATTTTTCTTAATTTCATTTTGATTGTCTTTACCTAAAAATTGAGGAGGCCTGTTGCTCAATTATGCTCATCATTGCTAATCTTTTCCACAAATCCGCTAATCTAACTTGGCAAATTTAATTCTTGAGAGACTGTTTATAAAATTAAGATAGCTCATAAATCCATCAGGCATCCCTGATCTAACCCCCCACTCCAATAATAACTCCAGATTTTCCTTAGCTCATGGAGCTTTAGGCCAAGAAACACATGTTAATTGTGCTGCACTCACTACTGGTGCAACAAATTGCACAGTAGAACCCGCATACTTCAAAAAAATGTTCTTATTCCTCTCTTGCCATAAATGCCCAAAAACTGTGGCTGAAAATACCTATCTTCTGAGCTTATCAGCAAAAGAATCAAGTATTACATGTTTGCTCTATCAATCAACTTCCAATTGCCAGTTCTTAATCTTTCTATAAAACAGACGCATTCTTTGAACTTTGTCCCAAACACATTGCGAAAAATGATCAATAGATTCAGTAATCTGTCCACACAGAACACAGATTCTGAACACGCCATCTACAGTCTATCTTTATTGGATAGCCAACCATAGAATAAATGCAATTTTTTGAGTATTATTTCTGATCCATACTAGCTTGTGCCATCCCATCCCACTCTGAAACTAGAAGAAAAAATTTCTTCATTGCAGATTTAATCGAGAACTCACCTGTGAAAGAAGCCAGCCAACTCAAATGATCCTCTCTATGCAAATATTTCTTCAATGAAAACTAGTTTTTCTGCCCCGCCCCTCAAACCCACCACAAAAAAAAATCAGATCATGTGACTTCCAAGCTCATTTAAAGTATATATTTATTTCATGATAATCTTAAGAAGAAACTCAAAACATGAATTCTAGTGGTTATATTTTAAGAACAAATGTTAATCATAATTTGCAAATATTCAAATTAAACACAATTTATTCATTGGCAGGTGAAAAATTTTACAACACGCAAGTCTGATACACAATCAAAAGTTCTACCGTACACAATCACGGTTATGAAATCGTAACAATGCTTCCTTGTCCGTAAATTGTAGAAAGCTCATTAGGTGCCAATACAAATCAATGTTCCATTGGCATAATAAAGCTTGCAGTCTCGCGGGAGGACACAACAGTTGCAGACTGGGGTAAGCTGCTCAGACCCTGAGGATGGGCAAGTCGTATAACCCTCTATTTTAAAACAAATCTGTGGGCAAAGTTTTGCACTTGCATTAGCCACCTTGCTTCCCAGCAGAATAATTGCTGTGGTAAATAAAATAAAATAAAAAAAAGCAAACGTTAACATTAAGTGTAAAGTGTCTTATTTTTGGGCTTGTGGAATGGTAATTTATTAAGCAAAGTGAGCAAGAACAGTAAAACTAATGTTTTATTTATTGTAAACCACGATTAATGAGAAATTTTGATGTAAAAACAACTTCACATAAAAGTTAATCTGTTGAGAAATGGGGCATACCGCAAAGTAGGACAGTGATGTTACCAACTCTATTAGCATCCATATTTTTATGAGGAGTTTTGCTTCAAAGCAGCGGTACCTATGGCTGTAGTCTATTTATAGCAAGGTTTGGACCAAACTAGTAAAAACATATGTATAATGAATTCCTCCTTTAGAGTCAAATTCAACAATGAACAATGAAGGTTTTGATAAACTCAATTGACTAATTGAGGTGCTTAAAACTGTAGCGAGGAAAAGAAAAGTATCTGGAATTACAGGAAATTCAAATTCACACCTAATTAAGAAAAGTATCTATTATAGTTAGGACATTCATTCAAAGTCCAAGAAGAGGAAAATTGCAAATAAAAGGACAAGGGTCCAATGATCAAAGGACAAAGGTCCAAAGAGTATAAACAAATGCTGAAAGCATATCTGCTAATGTTTAATATCATATCATTTCCATTTCTAGGGATGCATCAAAAGTAGCACTTTTCAAACAGCAAACTAAGAGCATCAATGTCCTCTAATATAAGAGCGTTGCCATTCTATGTTCCCTGGAATTTTGCCTCTGGATTTGATCCACTAATTGCTTACTTGTCATTGCAATTTGGATGTGTCTCCATCCTATTTGAGCAGCCTTACTGATTGTTAGTTTAACAGTCTCTGCCATGTCTTGCAGCTGATCCTCTGAGCTCCTTTCCTTCATTGCCCAGCATGCCAATACAGTTCCTGATTGGTCTTTCGCGATGATTCCCATTCCTGCCTTTCTGGGACAGGCTGCGTACTTGGATGCTGTTGCATCATGGATCCATTTGGCTGCTCATAGCTGTTCTCCTAGCCTATCTATTATTGTCTCCATTATCAAGAAGAATCGAGTAATATCAGTTAAATACCTAACATCTGCTAAAAATTACAACTACCATACACGTGTTCAATTGCTAACTTTCTATCATAAATATGGGATTAATGACTTCAAACTGCATAAATATTTGTCATACATGTCTTAACTACATTTTATCATTTAAATTTGTTCGGGTACTCACTTGAAAAATTACCCTTCTCAAAAGTTGTAATGGTTTTTGGTCTTCAATTTTTTGAGGTTACAATGGAAGACAACCAGCTTATTTCCTCAATATTTGGTCCATGCTGCCATCTAACTCTCCCCTAAAATGCTGGAAAAATATGAAGCTAGCTACTCATACTTTTTTTTTTTTTATTCCGAATTTCCTTGCATTTTGCTACCTGTAGAAGATTGCACATGTTGCCCTCGGAATAGCATTTAGATATCTATTAGAAACTTCCATCCATAAGCTTATAATAGCCAGTAGCAGAAAATGAACGCTAATGACTAGGACTAACCGTAACTAATCAACACCCTATTCACAAGGAGAGTAACAACTCCATCTCTCTCCTTTTCTGTCCCCTCACCCTCCTCCTTTCTGCAATTTTTCAAATTGTCCGAAAAGATATTTCATCAATATTTTCTTGTCCAGGTGATCTACCATTGTTATTTCTAATTAGCTATTTGGTTCCAATCATAACTTATCAATGCTCCTCATTGCAGTTTAGAAACAACATGTTTCCACGGCCCCTTATACTCAATAAACCTTCTATTATCAGGGTTCCCAATTCCTTGTTTGCCTAACAATTCCCTTATAATTTGCATTGCATGTCTACTAGATTTTGAAATTCTTATTTTTAATCACCTCAGAGTTGATCGCAGAAGATTAGTTGGAAACTAGTCATAGAATATTGATCTGTATGATTTTGTCAAAAAAAAGTTATTTTTGTTTCTTTCTTTTCTTTTATTTTTTTTTAATTGCTACCATGTTGAGCTAAATGGATTTCTAAACTTACCCATTGATTTTGGTGCAATATGCAATTTACATATTTTATTTTCATTTTCTGTTTCTTCTTCAGGTTGAAGAGCTATGATGGATGCAATGAGAGGACAAGGAGGCATTCAGATGCTGCTAACTGCAGAACAAGAGGCTCAACAAATTGTTTCAGCTGCTAAAAATAGTAAAACATAATTCCTATTTTGTTTTCCAGCATATATAGTCATAATTCCATAAAATTCCATAACTTCCTGAAATTCTACGAAAAATATAGCAATATGTTTGTTCTTTTTGTCCTTTTTGCTACTTCAAATGAACTTTTCTTGCAAATCCTGTCTTGCCCTTTTGTCTCTCTGGAAATATTACAAAATAGACGACTAATTCATAAATTTTTTCCCCACAGGCAAAATGGCCAAGTTGAGACTGGCCAAAGAAGAAGCTGAAGGCGAAATAGGACAATATCGTGCGAATTTGGAAGCAGAGTACCAAAGGAACATATCTGAGGTTTGTTTTCATTAGTTTAATACTTTGATCAGCCACTGGAATTTCAAGATTGATCCTATGGAATTCCTTGTTTGTCAGTTGAATATTTGAATGGCTGTAAATTCCTAGATGTTCCCTATCTGATTTACAGAAAAGTGGGAACTCCGACTTCACATTGAAACGTCTTGAGACAGAAACTGAGACCAAAATTCGGGACTTGAAGGACTCTGCCTCAAAAGTATCGGCAGATGTTGTTGCAATGCTCATCAAGTACATTACAACTGTGAAAAATTGATCCATGAAGGTATGTTCATGGTCATCATCGTCTAACCTCATATTGCTTTTGATGTTCTTATATTGAATCCCAAATAGAAAGTTTCCTAGTTCGAAAGTGTCGTTCCACCGGAACAGAAAATGAATATTAAACTGAAAAATAAAATGAAAATAATATAATACACACAAGTGTGGAGGGTTGAGGTTCGAATAGTTCGCTTTCTTTAAAGTGATTCAAGAATTTATGGAAGAATCAACTCTGGTGCAATAGGATTTCTAACTTATTACCTCTAAAATACAATAGCAATGTCATTAGTTTATACAACTAAAAGAGTATAACTCCAATAGCATATTTTTTTCTTACTTTACTATACATGAGATAGAAAAGTAAAGATTTCTTCTAACTCTGAAATACATCACTAATAGTCGTAGTACTAGTATTCTTTGTGTTTTCTGTCTCAAGGTACAGACATATACATAAGCGATGAAAAGCTAGAAAAAAACATAAGTTGCATTAATAATGGCATGCTAGATAAATGTAGGCGTTATTAGCTGGTTACATTGTTTTTGTAAGTGAAAACCTTTAATTTTTTATTATAAAGGTGAATTAATCAAAATCAGTCAAATACTATAACTCTCAAAAAACAGTTATTGTAGTTCTCTACTTATGCATTTAATTATCTTTTTAAAAGGATTTCTTTCATGAGGCACTTAAGTACACCTAAATCTTACCTAGCCTTCCATTTAAAAACACACACTAATAATTATTAATCTACCTTGCATTTATATAGGCTCCTTATTTAGCTTTAGATTTTCAAACTATTAACAATTGAACTACATATATAATGAATGTCCATTGGATACTCGTTAAATAGACTCTTAGTAATATAATCCAACAAAAAGTAATCCAATAAAAGTTACAGCTCATATCTAAGTAGCACAGTTTGATTCTTGCTTCCCATAGAAACTTAGCTAACCGCAATCCGGATTAAGCACGGATTTTAGAGCAATTTTGACTGAGAAAGCATTCATTTGGATAGGCTTTGTAGCCATCAAACTTTCCTCTCTTGTTGTCTATGTTTCATGTTCCTTTGAGATAAACAGTAAAAACAAACGAAAGATGTTGATTGTGTGGGATAAAAATAAAATAGGAGTTTTCTTTTTAGAAGGAAAAAGTATGCAGTTGCTGAAAATCCTTATTCACAATGCTTAAGCAATAAAGCAAATTAATTTTGATCATGAAGCAAATATGCAGGTGGTGATGCTGATGGAGTGTGCAATTGTACAAAGGGCAATAACTTGCAAGAGGACATTCAATGGAGCTGGTCAATAGTGATATTTTGACATTTTTGGAGATCTCTGTTGCCTGCTCTAATAGTCATTTCAATCTATTTTCTCTACAAGTGGATCTTTATTCTGATTCTTATTGTTTTTTGCAACAATTACAGCTTTGTAATTTTCTATTTTAGCCTAGTTGGTCCAGTATGTTTTGCCTCTCCATTTCTTGGCCCAGGAGGAGCGTTTTATAGCTTTTATGGAAAAGATGTTGGAAAAAGCACATTCTGATAGATAAACCTACTTAAAACCTACAACCTTTGACGCATTGAAAAAATTTAAAACAATAAGCACAACATGCTGGTGATCTTAAAGTTAGATAGGCCAATTGACATAGTCACCAAATAATTCAAAGAAATCTAAACTAGGGGCCTTTTGGTAATTTTATTATTATTTTTTGTTTACGTTCTTTGCTATGAATGAAATAGAATGCTTGTTTTGTTAATCAGCTAAAATAGAACATAAACATATTTGGTTCATAACACCATTTGAGAAACAAATAATTACAACTATGTTTGATTCGACATTACAAAATGATTAATGAGGTTAAAAAATTAATATAATGTAACAAATTAATATAATATTGAAGTTAGCCCGTAATTATGGATTGGGTTTGGGCCAAGCTAATTTCAATTTAAACTAGGTCTAACCCACATAATAGTATCAATTAAATATTTCATATGTTTAATACTTATACACATTCAAAATAAATAAGATTATATAAAATAATTGTGTGTTAATCTTAAAGCATTTTTCATTTAATTAAGTAATATATAATTAATAAATTAACAATTCATTTAATTAAGTAGTATATAATTAATAAATTGATAAAAATGTCATAAATATATGAGTTTAGTACTTTTTACTTATATCATATGAGTAAAACATTTTTTAAATCTTAAAACATATGATTTTTCAAAAAAAAAAATTGAAGCAAACCCAATTTCAACCCAAAACCCATTTTAGAAAAATGGGCGGAGATAAACTTTACATGTATGTGCTTTGAATGGATTGATTTCAGGTCTAAAACTGAGATTTATTTTTTCCTTATTTTGGGTTTAGACTCGTTGAAGCCCAATTAAGAACAAACCATAAGCGTTAACCGATGACGGTCAATTTGGCCCAGATCATATTAGGTGGTAACGTGTCAAATAGGATAAGGTGTCTTGTGGGATAATCAATGGTGGTTGAGTGAAGATATAATAAACAATTTACAACGTTAATTTATTGATTTTTCATTTTAGATGTCTTTTAAACAAGTAAAAACAACATATTGGTGTTTTAAAAACAAGTCTCATGTTCATAAATGTTTCTCTTTTATATCAAAACTAGTTTTGTACCCGTTCGTTGAACGGGAATCATCGAAAAATAATAAACTATTTAGTTAATTTTATAAAAATGTCGTTATAAAATATAAATTTAATGTATAATCTATTATAACTTGTCTTAAGTATATTACTATGTGCGCATTGTAATACAAAGTATTCTTATAATACAAATTTGAACATCTAATTCAGTGAATAATAATTCAAAAATAGAAAAAATATCATTCAACAATACCATAACATTAAAAAACTTGAAAATAAATAAAAAGTGCAGTAAATAGTATCAAATAATATTCTATTCTTCAGAAACATTTTTTTGTTTTTCTTCTATTTGAACATTCTCCTTGATCTGTCCGTGCAAATCAGCATTTATTGATTTTCCATTATTATTGCATGATACCAAAACAGGAGAACTAAGTACTGGAAAAAAATGATTTATCGTAATCAAAGTTGTGTATAACAATACGTAAAGATTATAATTTAATAAAGTAAAATAGTATATTAAATCTACCTTCTCATGCAAATCTTTTATGAGGATTCCCTTCCTCTGTGGTTTTTGTTGAACCCTCTGATGAATGATTCATATGAAGTGTATTAAAATGTTGTTGATTAGAATCATCTGTTATACTAATTGGGATCTGGAAAGAAAATGCTTCAGGTTGGTATTGGTTGTCGGTTCCACCAATCTGATAATGATTTATCAAAATTAAAGACAAAAATATTATGTGAGATATAATATGTGAAATATAAGAGAAATTTATTGCACATTACCTGTGAAAGCATGAAATGCGTTTCCCTCCCGAAATCACAGTGGAACTATCTAGTCACTGTAAATCTATTACTACCTTATTCCAGATTGTAATTGTTCAACTTGATTTGGAACACAAAAGATTTTCACGTGACCTTATTTATAATTGATGACACAATTTCACTACTAAATCCTTCCTGACAATGAAATGCATAATAGATTTTTTTTTTGTTAGAATATTCAATGGCTAAGATAAGTGTCGGATTGTCTACTATTATTAAAAGAGTAAATCTTTCCTACACTAACAGTGTATACACTATCATTGTTGGATTCATGACATGTGTGCAAAAATTGAATTTCAAATTCAAATTTTGCATAGTTGTCATTCATTCAATACTGATAGTGTATACACTGTCAATGTAGGAAAAATTAATCCTTATTAAAAATATTTTTAAAAATTAGATATAAGTTTACCTTGTTAAATTCGTCAAAAACAAAAGAAAGTTCTATTATTCTTTCAGCCTCTTGATCAAATATAACAAACCAAGCACTACCAGTTGCATCTCTTGCCAAGACTTTTAACATATACGTGTATAAATACACATATTCTAAAAGTTAAGTTTATCTAGATATTGTAACAATTAAAATGATAAAAAGGTTAACATTTTCTTTATGGACTTTTCTAGAAATTTTCAATCAGATGAAGTGCCATTTCTCTTTGTACATCAATTATGCATGGGAACTGTGAGTCTTGTAAAAACTTTCTTGGGCTAACTTTCTTTAATTTTCATATGTAAATTGTTTGTACGTTGCTCTATATATGGGTAGATTATCTTAAAATAAAAAGGATGTATGATGAAGCTAGAAAAAAATTTGAAAAAGGACACTATAAAAAATATATATTATCATTTATTCCTATATATCTAATAGAGGAGATTTATGTCTCTTTTATTTATATCGAATTACTTTTTAGTTCCTTTTTTGGGTAAGAAATAAGAATCATATAATATGAAGAATTCTTATGGGAAATAAGAATTGATATACATCCAAACAAAAAAGTATCAAGCCACGTAGGAAACTACTTGCCGTCTCATTAAGCCACGTAGGAAAGAGAAAATGCGAAGGGATAAGTATGAGGATACGACTTTATTATATATATATATATATATATATATATGATACGAGCAGTTTTAATAAACGTTGTTTTTTGTTTTTTGTTTTTGTTTGTCAAATTCTATAAATACAAATATAAAACACCAAACATAAGCATTACCAAATAGTATTTCATGATTTTTATCAAACTTCAACTAGGCATCATATGAAGATTACCAACCTAACTGGGAAAAAAAATACTGAATTAAGTAGTGTCATTATTTAAGTTCATTGCAGTTTTCTTCTTTATATTTTAATAATTTCTTAAATTTTAGGTCTTAAAGGTCATTTTGATCTTTCATTATTTCAAAGCAATTAGAAAGAGTCTTATTTAGCTATTTGATTATATTAAGAAACTTATTGAAGTCATTGTTAAGAAAAGTTCCACGGAAGTTCTAAAAGCATTTTGCTTATCTTGTAGCTTAAGAAATAGGAATCTATTCACTATAGGATCCTATATTTAGGTGATCAATGAATTCCTACAAATGCACAGGGTCGATCAAAGTAATAAATTACTTGGAGTATTCCAAGGATGAACCCACAAGGACGAGTTAATTTTCTACTTTAATTATTCTACCAAAATAACAAAATTTAAATTCAAGGCATTGTATTTTCTAACTAAGCAATAAAATAATAATCAATTCAAATAAAGTAGTGGTGAGAAAACAATAAACACAAGTCTAGGGTTTTAGGCTTTAATCCAAATTTTGAGTTAATTATCTAGTTAATTTTTTTAACAAACCATGAACGCATCACATAATTGTATTTTAGATTATCTTTTGATACATTTAAAGTGCGCCTAATTAAATCCTACATCTCTCTCGAGATCGCAAGTATTCAATTAAACCCTTTAAGAACTTTAGTGATATAAGTGCGTCATATAAATTCTAACCTACTCTTGTGATTAGGTTAAATAAGTTTATCTATCTAGTGCACGGCTTTATCTTGCCTCTCAGTTTGAACAAATCCAGAAATTATGTCTATGGTGATCAGGCATAAACATGTAATTAAAATCAGGATAGATAAATCATAACGAAAAGTATGAATTAAAATCAAGATAGATAAATCATAACAAAAGGCAAGAAATTAAACTAGAAAAATTAATCAAATTCTTTCATAAAAATCCTAATCCTAGAAATAGTTTAGTTCAACATAATTAGGAAATTAAAATCACTAATTCAGAGAGTTGCTACAAAGATAAGTAAACAAGTAAGAAAACTTCTTAGTTGCTTGCTTCAACCTTCTCCACGCGTGCTCCTTGATTTGCCTCCGTTGGATCTTGATCTCTAGAGAAAAATTTTGAATAGATGTTAAAACTAAGTTAGGCTAATGTTTGCTACCCCTAAAAAGGTCCTAGATAGCCCCTATTTATAGTTTTTTAAAGTAGTATCCTAAACGGGGTAGAATTGGGTTTATTATGGCTGAAAAAAGATGTTTTTGCGCATTTTTCCAATAAACTCCAGCACCAACTCCGGCCTAAACTCCGGTACCGGAGTTGGGACTAGAGAAACACAGGCTAGAAGACTCTAATCGACACTAGCACTAGTTATAACAGACTCGCTGATGGATCGCTCGGGACCCACGCATGGATCTATTTTGAAACCAAAAAACTCTATCAACGAGACTAAATCAGTTCTTGCTCAAAACATGAAAGTTGTAACTCTTTAAATGATAGGTTGCCATTTTGTTATTTATTTTATAATTAATTTCCCCTATTACCTTACCAAATGTGGATTAATTATCAGATTCTACTCATTTTTGGCATTTGTGCTTTCTGCAAGGAGTTGAAACAAAAAGTAATAAAAAGGTGCAAATTCCTCACTACATTGGCTTCGAGACGT